TGACCAGACCACACACTAGAAATTGAAGGGACGACGACGTTTCGGTCCGTCCTGGACCATTCTCAAGTCGATTGAGAATGACACAATCGACTTGAGAATGGTCCAGGACGGACCGAAACGTCGTCGTCCCTTCACTTTTTAGTGTGTGGTCTGGTCAACATACTTCAGCCACGTTATTGTGACTCATCGCCTGCAGTGTTCAGGATCATTTACTTTAAAACATTATCATGATAGCCAAAAATTAACAATTTACGACAAGCATCTTGTTGTGCAGGAAAGCGGAAAACCTTGTTTCTTTTATTATTGAAACAGAAAACTAACATGTTAGGTTAGAAAACAAGATTTGGCTCTAGCTGAACAAAATACAATGCTCGTGGGCACTATGAAGCTAACGTCGCCCATAAGTATGATAAATATATGAGTGACAAAGACCATGATAAAGTTAGTGAGTTTGAGCAGTCAATTAAAAAAGCAGCTGTCGGTAATTAAAAGCTTTCTTCAAGTTATTAAGACTGCAGTAAGACATGACAAAGCTGTGTCTTTGCAGCATTTACCGAAGGGAACTCTATGTAAAACTGCATGTCGATGGCTTCAATGTTTATTTGCCCGGAGAAACGGGGGCAGAGTTTTGTCAACATAAGCCTCACAGGAAATACAAGAAATACAGAATTACTGAGAATATTAACACTCTGATCCAAGCAAAATTAAAACTTTTTACAGAATTATATTTTGCAGTTTATGAGAGTACTTGTAACTGATTCAACAGCACAGTTTAATATTTGTATAAGTGGTGTTGATGAAGGTGTACAGGTAACAGCACAGTTTCTGAAGTTGATAATAAATGGAAAAATAACAGATAATTTTATCTTCGTTATTTTTGTATTAATCATGGACAAATTACTAGTTGATTGAGAAAAGTTATGAGTCTGGCTGTAGATTTAACGTCGCAAATGATGATTACAAAAGTCAATGCGGTTAATAAATTCAAGGAAAAAATACTGAATAAAAAAAACTAAACTTTTGCAATGTCTATTACATTATTCAGAGAGAAATGATGTACACATTAATTATGGATAATGTCATGGATATCGTCATTCATTGAACATATACGAGCACGAGCCCTTAACGATAGAAATACGAACTGCTTTTTGAGGAGAAAAATTCAAACCCTCGCAGTATGTCATATCACACTGATGATCGATGGTTAGGCTATGCATGAACTTTAAGATAATAAACGGAATCGAGATCTGGCATTACAGAATACGCAAATGTCACAACGATGCAAGGGCGCAATAAATTATATATAAATGATTTATAGCTGTATTCGTATTTTTCAGATGAAATTACAGTTTTTTGAAAGGCAACTTCCAGAGGGTCATCCCTTGTACTGTCCAGCCTTGATATCCCCCCGCAAGACATAACTGAACGTTATGCAGACACCCACAGTAATGCAGCAAGATTTTCAAGTTCAGGAATGAGTTTCACGATATATTTACTGACTTTAATTACCACCAGAAAGATTTCTCCATTTTCCGGGTCTCCTCCTTTATCGGCGTTGATAAGACGCCGTTATTTCTTTCTCTAGAAGTAATTGTTACAATATAATTCTGTTCTGAGGGATAATTTTTCGTGTGTAGATGAATCTTATGGACGGCTTACAGTCCACCACGAAGGAATATTGAAATCTGAAGCAGTGTTCAGGGGTTACTTACTTTAAACATTATCATGATAACCAAAATTGGTTATCATGATTGCAGTCCATCGCGAAGAAATCACACAACTGATTTTTGATAAATTCCTGAGCACCAAATTTGTTTCGAAAATGTTGTTGTTGTGGCTCCAGTGTCACCCAGACACCCCGTGGCTCCAGTGTCACCCAGACACCCCATGGCCCAAGTGTCACCCAGACACCCCGTGGCCCCAGTGTCACCCAGACACCCCGTGGCTCCAGTGTCACCCAGACACCCCGTGGCCCCAGTGTCACCCAGACACCCCATGGCCCAAGTGTCACCCAGACACCCCGTGGCCCAAGTGTCACCCAGACACCCCGTGGCCCCAGTGTCACCCAGACACCCCGTGGCTCCTGTGTCACCCATCACAACTTGTCCTCTCAACCTAACACGACGCATTTTGTACAGTCCACCGACCCGTTAAACAATCGATTTATTAGTAAACAATAATAAAACAAAATTATACTGACGTTTTCTGTGCCTTCGCTTCGATAGGTTAGGTGGGTTGTTTGGGCTTCTTCGTTTTGGGTTAAGCAAACCAATTGTATTTCATAGCGCAAAGAGAGATAATGGGCTACGATAACGAGCGGATATTCACATAACAAACAGCAAGATAAGGAGTGAGAGAAAGCGCAAACACTCTGATACCCTTCGAGCTCCCACTGTGACAGTAACGAAAACTTAGACAAAGAATTAAGTGACAAGAAGTAGTAGTTACGAGGCACGGCCAAGTACGCTAATCAGCGTCTGAAGCTGCTCTCAGAGGTGAAGGGTCAAGATAGGAGGGGGAGGGAGGAGCACAGGACGTGGTTCTCTTCCCGATGACCCAAAATTAATTCCAGGCAACACTTTACCTGTAGGTAATCGACATGCCGTTATTGCTAATGGTGTTATTAACTCGCGGCCTGCCCTACCCCCCCCCCTTCTATCGCGCAATACCAGTCAGATTACAATGAATATTCAAAAGCGCCAGAGAGCGTATGTGCAGATGCAGAGAATCCGGATACCACTGGGGAACGGAGAGAGAGAGGGCATCTAGAGAGTTAGCAGGGCGATGCCTTTTCTCCTATAACACCATCTTCCCTTCAGGCAGGCCAGAGGGCTGCAGGCACTCGGAGGCACTCACAATCTGCGTGGTACATTGCTGAACAAAATGAAGCCCTGGGATTATATATATATATAATTTAGTAGTGCCAAATACACAAATACTGGTTGTGTGTGTGTTGACTACAGATGAGCCTTACCAGCAGCAAAAATTGCAAACCTATATCAAGGTCTGTGTGTGGAGCCTCCCAGTGCCACACACGTGATATTTTAATCAGGAAACCGACTGGGAGGACTTATCATCTCGAATACAATGGGGGAGAATTTCTTGATCTCGTGCAAGACTGTCTCCCCAAAGGAGTGAGAGAGAGAGAGAGAGCCCAGTACCCGAGGAGACGCTGGTCCAGGTCTAGTCCTGACAGATTAGAAGGACATGGTACACCAGGGTCAAGTAGGGGAGATAATCACTTAAGATAGATGAAAAGAAATGTAATGATAACATTTATAATGACTAACCAGAACGGGAAGTAAACTTGTATAACATCATCCCGGGATATAATATAAGATTTGCGAAATGTTTTTGGCTTTCAACAAAAGGATAACAATATTACCTGCCAATATTGTACTTGACACAATCGACTCGAGAATGGTCCAGGACGGACCGAAACGTCGTCGTCGTCCCTTCACTTTCTAGTGTGTGGTTTGGTCAACATATTTCAGCCACGTTATTGTGACTCCTCGTCGGCTTACCTGCCAACTCTATACAAACTTGTCAAGTGGGGAGTTGTAC